AAGAACTATGTACTTTTGGCAGCAGCGGTTTCTTGGCCACTGCTGAATATTATAGAAGTCAGTCTTTAATTTGACAAAACTGAAGGAAGTCGAGTTTCTATATTTTCCATCCACCGTTCCCGATACAATAAATATAAATCCTATAAATCCTATAGCTGCCATATAACTGATTGATCGGAAATGCCATAACTTTGGTGTTTGTAAAGTTAGAAAGTTGGGATTTCCTATGGGTTTTATTTTTGGCCAATTAATCCGACCTACCAAATCATATGGATCGGCCGACTATATCCTATAGCTGCCATATAACTGAACGATTGGAAATGCCATAACTTTGGTGTTTTTAAAGTTTGGAAGTTGGGATTTTTTATGAGTATTAAGAATGCATCATATGAATAATTTTGGATAATATAATTTACAGAGTATTCTGCAAGTTAGCTTTCCGCCCGAAGTTAGCTTTCCTTTCTTGTTTTTATATACAGATGCATCCGTTTTATGGACACAATTATATAGTGCGGAGAGCTCAATCCTTTGGATTCCAAAATAGGATGAGAGCCCAATCCTTTTTCTGATACATTCATAAATACCGGAGAGCTCAATCCTTTGGATTCTAAATAATTAGGAGAGCTCAATCCATCTTCTAAAATATTTAGTTTATAAAGGCTTGTCGAATTGTCTTGTGTTGAATTGAGATCTAATTTGGTTGGAATTTATGTTCAAATGTACAAAAGTCACATGGATAATTGTGCACGCATACATTCATGTTTGCATGTACGAGAAGTAGACGCACATTGCAATGGACCATGATACAATAACATAAGGTAGTCTCGTCGACAAAATTTTGGTATCTCACTATTATAACAATGAGTGCGAGTGAGATGGAAACTGTTTAGTAAGTGCGAGCAGAGCGACAATAGAATGTGTGGATTAACCCTTAGATGGTTCAGGGGGGTTTTTTTTTGCCTTTCATAATAAAAGGAGTTACATTTTTTTTTATAATTTAATTTTTAATAATTTTGAATTTGAAATTAGGCGTTGTTTTTGTCTCTGAATACTGAGTCTTTTGTTAAGATTCCTAATTATAAAATATATTCTAATCTTAAAATAAAACTTTTTTATGTTTCTTTTACATTTTTGGTTTCTTAAAAGTATCGTTAATGTAGTGTACAAATATATGTTCTAATTGTTTTATTTTTTCAACGAACTGGGCAGACGGATTCATGAGTCCCCCGTGAGACACTTCATCTACATAAGTAAATGTTTCATTGTCAGCCTCCCACAGCGCTCTTTTTTCTAAACATTTCGGTGCCTTTATAAATTTTACGCCATCGACGTGTTTGCGGCACACATTGCAAAGTGTCATGTTGCTCAAGGGTGAATTTCCTAAAAAATTCGTCCGCAGACAACCTTTCCCTTCGAAAGACGAACACGCACTGACCAAAACCCGAACGTTTAGACAGCCGACGAGACAACCTTCTGTTATTGTATCATGGACGAGACTACCTTATGTTATTGTATCATGAACGGGTCCATCGTGCTTCTTCTTCTCGTCTTCTCGTCGTTCCTTTGCTCACTTGATATTCTCGCTCACTTCTATTCTGGCGTTGAGAGCGTGCGGTTCATACAATTTAAATGCGCATTATTATTTATTCATTGGAAGGTGCCTGTATAATACTTAATTGTATTATATCTATTTATTAACACAAAACCATAGGTTATGGGCCCAGACACAATTGCAATGAATAAATAATAGTGCATTGATCGGTTTAATGTGAAAGTGCATAAAAGTGAACTTATGATATGTGTGTGTATGCATACGAATATGAGTACTTTGCAGTACGGTTCATCACCTTTTAATCGCTTTTTCATCACCAAAAATTCATCACTGCTGATGATTAATCGATGAATCTTCATACAAATTAGTGATGAATTTAACATTGGCATGTCCTTGGAGTTAATCAGTGAAAAATTCATCACTCTTTAATCAGTAATTCATCACCCTTTTTTCAGTTTTTCAGCACTCCTTAATCAGTAATTCATCACTCTTTAAACAGCATTTACTGATGAACATGCGATGAAATAATAATTAAAATGCGATGAAAAAGTAATTAACGAGTGATGAATTACTGATTAAAGAGTGATGAATTCATCACATTTTCATCAGTAATTCATCACTCTTTAATCAGTAATTCATTACATTTTCATCGCATTTTCATCACTTTATCATCTCATTTTCATATCTTTTTCATGGCATTTTCATCGCTTTTTCATCGCAATTTCATTGCTTTTTCATCAGTAATTTATCAAATTTTCATCAGTAAATTTTCATATAAATTTCTTTTTATTTTATTACATTATTTCATTAATTTAATTCCAATAACTAATTTTAGTGGTCTCGAGGGTGTTGGGGATTTTGGGGGCGACGGATGTGCTGGGGTCGTTGGATGTGCCGGGGTCTTTGGATGTGCCGGGGTTCTCATCTTTTTTAGGCACCTTTTTCTTCACTGCGTGAAGGTTTTTTAGACACCTCATCGCCTTTGTGAGGGCCTTCTCCGGCTCACGCGGCTCAACATGTCCGATGGCATATAAAATTATAAAATGTTAATAAAAGAAAAACAATCATTTATAAAAACTTACTCAACAAACTTTGAAAGAAATTCGGGAATGATTTCAACTTTTTCTTTTGTTGGCTGCCATCTAGGTTATAGTTTCTCATCATTTCGGCCGTCAAAACGTTGGTAAGGGTCCGGCACAATTTTTGTTGGCCCAGAACCCTTAACATGTACTTTTGCTGAACAAATGAAAATGAATATATTAGCCGTATATGTACAGTTTAAGCTATAAAAAAACTTACATATTTTTCCGTTTCCAAAATTAAACGGCTTTCCACTTCCATGAGCTTCTCGTCCGAGTCTATAGAAAATAGATCCTGCATTTTTTCAAATGTGCTGGACTCTGACCATCCCGACTGCCGGACATAAGCCATGAGTGTCCCTACGGCGTTGGTGAGAGCCGTCATTTGCTCAGAAAAGGCTCTAATATCCTGTTTTAAGCTCTTCTTCATTTATACTTTTTTTACGAGTATGTACATGCATTATTTATATTAAATTCATTTTAAAAACTTACCCTCCATCCACCTACCAGAAAAAATTAGAAAATTTTATACTTACGACTGTTAGCATTGTCAATGCAAAATCGTTTGGGACCTGGAGCATCCATACTATAACAAATAATTTTAATAAATATTTTATAAAATAAATAAAAAGTAGTGTTTTTTTTTTAGGTTTTCGAACCAGGGTAGGTGAATCTTCTAAAGATATTTAAAGCGCCGTCGCTTTAAATATGCCTGATTCATTTTTTTAAATGCCTACGGACTAAACACCCCCCATTCTCAAAAAATAAAAAATAAACTATGAAAAATGTAAAAACGGTACCAATACAACATTATTTTTATATGGTATTGCTACCGCTTTCCTACTAAAAGTTGAAACAGGATACTTTTCTAATATTGTATCCTCTTCAAAAATGCCATCACAAATTCCCACATCAAATTAACTAATAGGCTCATCATAAAAACTAAAAAGTTCTGAAAATCTTCTACCTAATATAAATATTTATTCTAACTCTTCTACAAAAGAATCTATTTTTATTGAGACAATTTCCTGCACAAAACAAAAATTATCGGGACTTTTCCCGCTTAATATACAATTATTTAATTTTAAAATATTTCCTACTATTTCCTACTATTTTAATATTATTTTTATCCCTAACTTTAAATTTGTCTTCTGAAATTTTTCTATAAATTTGTTGTAGAATTTGAGTGGGTTTTCAGACAAAACGCTTAAGGGTTTGCAAATAATTTTCAAAATCATAAGATCGGATCTCCGACAAGCTTCGCTGTTTCGCCTACATGAAGCAAGCCGTAAACATTGTATGAAACACTGTTATCACCAAATATAAGGAAAGTTCTCAACAACAAGTAACGGGTCCATCGTGCTTATTCTTCTCGTCTTCTCGTCGTTCCTTTGCTCACTTGATATTCTCGTTCACTTCTATTCTGGCGTTGAGAGCGTGCGGTTCATACAATTTAAATGCGCATTATTATTTATTCATTGGAAGGTTGCCTGTATAATACTTAATTGTATTATATCTTTTAATAACACAAAACCATAGGTTATGGGCCCAGACACAATTGCAATGAATAAATAATAGTGCATTGATCGGTTTAATGTGAAAGTGCATAAAAGTGAACTAATGATATGTGTGTGTATGCATACGAATATGAGTACCCTGCAGTACGGTTCATCACCTTTTAATCGCTTTTTCATCACCAAAAATTCATCACTGCTGATGATTAATCGATGAATATTCATACAAATTAGTGATGAATTTAACATTGGCATGTCCTTGGAGTTAATCAGTGAAAAATTCATCACTCTTTAATCAGTAATTCATCACCCTTTTTTCAGTTTTTCAGCACTCCTTAATCAGTAATTCATCACTCTTTAAACAGCATTTACTGATGAACATGCGATGAAATAATAATTAAAATGCGATGAAAAAGTAATTAACGAGTGATGAATTACTGATTAAAGAGTGATGAATTCATCACATTTTCATCAGTAATTCATCACTCTTTAATCAGTAATTCATTACATTTTCATCGCTATTTCATCACTTTATCATCTCATTTTCATATCTTTTTCATAGCTTTTGCATCGTTTTTTCATCGTTTTTTCATCGCTTTTTCATCGCTTTTTCATCGCTTTTTCATCGCATTTTCATCGCTTTTTCATCAGTAATTAATCAAATTTTCATCAGTAAATTTTCATATAAATTTCTTTTAATTTTATTACATTATTTCATTAATTTAATTCCAATAACTAATTTTAGTGGTCTCGAGGGTGTTGGGGATTTTGGGGGCGACGGATGTGCTGGGGTCGTTGGATGTGCCGGGGTCTTTGGATGTGCCGGGGCTCTCATCTTTTTTAGGCACCTTTTTTTCACTGCGTGAAGGTTTTTAGACACCTCATCGCCTTTGTGAGGGCCTTCTCCGGCTCACGCGGCTCAACATGTCCGATGGCATCTAAAATTATAAAATGTTAATAAAAGAAAAACAATCATTCATAAAAACTTACTCAACAAACTTTGAAAGAAATTCGGAAATGATTTCAACTTTTTCTTTTGTTGGCTGCCATCTAGGTTATAGTTTCTCATCATTTCGGCCGTCAAAACGTTGGTAAGGGTCCGGCTCAATTTTTGTTGGCCCAGAACCCTTAACATGTACTTTTGCTGAACAAATGAAAATGAATATATTAGCCGTATATGTACAGTTTAAACGGCTTTCCACTTCCATGAGCTTCTCGTCCGAGTCTATAGAAAATAGCTCCTGCATTTTTTCAAATGTGCTGGACTCTGACCATCCCGACTGCCGGACATAAGCCGTGAGTGTCCCTACGGCGTTGGTGAGAGCCGTCATTTGCTCAGATAAGGCTCTAATGTCCTGTTTTAAGCTCTTCTCCATTTATACTTTTTTTACGAATATGTACATGCATTATTTATATTAAATTCATTTTAAAAACTTACCCTCCATCCACCTACCAGAAAAAATTAGAAAATTTTATACTTACGACTGTTAGCATTGTCAATGCAAAATCGTTTGGGACCCGGAGCATCCATACTATAACAAATAATTTTAATAAATATTTTATAAAATAAATAAAAAGTAGTGTTTTTTTTTTTAGGTTTTCGAACCAGGGTAGGTGAATCTTCTAAAGATATTTAAAGCGCCGTCGCTTTAAATATGCCTGATTCATTTTTTTAAATGCCTACGGACTAAACACCCCCCATTCTCAAAAAATAAAAAATAAACTACCAATACAACATTATTTTTATATGGTATTGCTACCGCTTTCCTACTAAAAGTTGAAACAGGATACTTTTCTAATATTGTATCCTCTTCAAAAATGCCTTCACAAATTCCCACATCAAATTAACTAATAGGCTCATCATAAAAACTAAAAAGTTCTGAAAATCTTCTACCTAATATAAATATTTCTTCTAACTCTTCTACAAAAGAATCTATTTTAATTGGGACAATTTCCTGCACAAAACAAAAATGATCGGGACTTTTCCCGCTTAATATACAATTATTTAATTTTAAAATATTTCCTACTATTTCCTACTATTTTAATATTATTTGTATCCCTAACTTTAAATTTGTCTTCTGAAATTTTTCTATAAATTTGTTGTAGAATTTGAGTGGGTTTTCAGACAAAACGCTTAAGGGTTTGCAAATAATTTTCAAAATCATAAGACGAACCTCTAATCGGATCTCCGACAAGCTTCGCTGTTTCGCCTACATGAAGCAAGCCGTAAACATTGTATGAAACACTGTTATCACCAAAAATATAAGGAAAGTTCTCAGCAACAAGTAACGGGTCCATCGTGCTTATTCTTCTCGTCTTCTCGTCGTTCCTTTGCTCACTTGATATTCTCGTTCACTTCTATTCTGGCATTGAGAGCGTGCGGTTCATACAATTTAAATGCGCATTATTATTTATTCATTGGAAGGTTGCCTGTATAATACTTAATTGTATTATATCTATTTATTAACACAAAACCATAGGTTATGGGCCCAGACACAATTGCTATGAATAAATAATAGTGCATTGATCGGTTTAATGTGAAAGTGCATAAAAGTGAACTAATGATATGTGTGTGTATGCATACGAATATGAGTACCCTGCAGTACGGTTCATCACCTTTTAATCGCTTTTTCATCACCAAAAATTCATCACTGCTGATGATTAATCGATGATTATTCATACAAATTAGTGATGAATTTAACATTGGCATGTCCTTGGAGTTAATCAGTGAAAAATTCATCACTCTTTAATCAGTAATTCATCACCCTTTTTCAGTTTTTCAGCACTCCTTAATCAGTAATTCATCACTCTTTAAACAGCATTTACTGATGAACATGCGATGAAATAATAATTAAAATGCGATGAAAAAGTAATTAACGAGTGATGAATTACTGATTAAAGAGTGATGAATTCATCACATTTTCATCAGTAATTCATCACTCTTTAATCAGTAATTCATTACATTTTCATCGCTATTTCATCACTTTATCATCTCATTTTCATATCTTTTTCATAGCTTTTTCATCGTTTTTTCATCGCTTTTTCATCGCTTTTTCATCGCATTTTCATCGCTTTTTCATCAGTAATTAATCAAATTTTCATCAGTAAATTTTCATATAAATTTCTTTTAATTTTATTACATTATTTCATTAATTTAATTCCAATAACTAATTTTAGTGGTCTCGAGGGTGTTGGGGATTTTGGGGGCGACGGATGTGCTGGGGTCGTTGGATGTGCCGGGGTCTTTGGATGTGCCGGGGCTCTCATCTTTTTTAGGCACCTTTTTTTCACTGCGTGAAGGTTTTTTAGACACCTCATCGCCTTTGTGAGGGCCTTCTCCGGCTCACGCGGCTCAACATGTCCGATGGCATCTAAAATTATAAAATGTTAATAAAAGAAAAACAATCATTCATAAAAACTTACTCAACAAACTTTGAAAGAAATTCGGGAATGATTTCAACTTTTTCTTTTGTTGGCTGCCATCTAGGTTATAGTTTCTCATCATTTCGGCCGTCAAAACGTTGGTAAGGGTCCGGCTCAATTTTTGTTGGCCCAGAACCCTTAACATGTACTTTTGCTGAACAAATGAAAATGAATATATTAGCCGTATATGTACAGTTTAAACGGCTTTCCACTCAGATAAGGCTCTAATGTCCTGTTTTAAGCTCTTCTCCATTTATACTTTTTTTACGAATATGTACATGCATTATTTATATTAAATTCATTTTAAAAACTTACCCTCCATCCACCTACCAGAAAAAATTAGAAAATTTTATACTTACGACTGTTAGCATTGTCAATGCAAAATCGTTTGGGACCCGGAGCATCCATACTATAACAAATAATTTTAATAAATATTTTATAAAATAAATAAAAAGTAGTGTTTTTTTTTTAGGTTTTCGAACCAGGGTAGGTGAATCTTCTAAAGATATTTAAAGCGCCGTCGCTTTAAATATGCCTGATTCATTTTTTTAAATGCCTACGGACTAAACACCCCCCATTCTCAAAAAATAAAAAATAATCTACCAATACAACATTATTTTTATATGGTATTGCTACCGCTTTCCTACTAAAAGTTGAAACAGGATACTTTTCTAATATTGTATCCTCTTCAAAAATGCCATCACAAATTCCCACATCAAATTAACTAATAGGCTCATCATAAAAACTAAAAAGTTCTGAAAATCTTCTACCTAATATAAATATTTCTTCTAACTCTTCTACAAAAGAATCTATTTTTATTGAGACAATTTCCTGCACAAAACAAAAATTATCGGGACTTTTCCCGCTTAATATACAATTATTTAATTTTAAAATATTTCCTACTATTTCCTACTATTTTAATATTATTTGTATCCCTAACTTTAAATTTGTCTTCTGAAATTTTTCTATAAATTTGTTGTAGAATTTGAGTGGGTTTTCAGACAAAACGCTTAAGGGTTTGCAAATAATTTTCAAAATCATAAGACGAACCTCTAACCGGATCTCCGACAAGCTTCGCTGTTTCGCCTACATGAAGCAAGCCGTAAACATTGTATGAAACACTGTTATCACCAAAAATATAAGGAAAGTTCTCAGCAACAAGTAACGGGTCCATCGTGCTTATTCTTCTCGTCTTCTCGTCGTTCCTTTGCTCACTTGATATTCTCGTTCACTTCTATTCTGGCATTGAGAGCGTGCGGTTCATACAATTTAAATGCGCATTATTATTTATTCATTGGAAGGTTGCCTGTATAATACTTAATTGTATTATATCTATTTATTAACACAAAACCATAGGTTATGGGCCCAGACACAATTGCTATGAATAAATAATAGTGCATTGATCGGTTTAATGTGAAAGTGCATAAAAGTGAACTAATGATATGTGTGTGTATGCATACGAATATGAGTACCCTGCAGTACGGTTCATCACCTTTTAATCGCTTTTTCATCACCAAAAATTCATCACTGCTGATGATTAATCGATGAATCTTCATACAAATTAGTGATGAATTTAACATTGGCATGTCCTTGGAGTTAATCAGTGAAAAATTCATCACTCTTTAATCAGTAATTCATCACCCTTTTTTCAGTTTTTCAGCACTCCTTAATCAGTAATTCATCACTCTTTAAACAGCATTTACTGATGAACATGCGATGAAATAATAATTAAAATGCGATGAAAAAGTAATTAACGAGTGATGAATTACTGATTAAAGAGTGATGAATTCATCACATTTTCATCAGTAATTCATCACTCTTTAATCAGATTTTCATTACATTTTCATCGCATTTTCATCACTTTATCATCTCATTTTCATATCTTTTTCATAGCTTTTTCATCGTTTTTTCAATGCTTTTTCATAAGTAATTAATCAAATTTTCATATAAATTTCTTTTAATTTTATTACATTATTTCATTAATTTAATTCCAATAACTGATTTTAGTGGTCTCGAGGGTGTTGGGGATTTTGGGGGCGACGGATGTGCTGGGGTCGTTGGATGTGCCGGGGTCTTTGGATGTGCCGGGGCTCTCATCTTTTTTAGGCACCTTTTTTTTCACTGCGTGAAGGTTTTTTAGACACCTCATCGCCTTTGTGAGGACCTTCTCCGGCTCACGCGGCTCAACATGTCCGATGGCATCTAAAATTATAAAATGTTAATAAAAGAAAAACAATCATTCATAAAAACTTACTCAACAAACTTTGAAAGAAATTCGGGAATGATTTCAACTTTTTCTTTTGTTGGCTGCCATCTAGGTTATAGTTTCTCATCATTTCGGCCGTCAAAACGTTGGTAAGGGTCCGTCTCAATTTTTGTTGGCCCAGAACCCTTAACATGTACTTTTGCTGAACAAATGAAAATGAATATATTAGCCGTATATGACCAGTTTAAGCTATAAAAAAAACTTACATATTTTTCCGTTTCCAAAATTAAACGGCTTTCCACTTCCATGAGCTTCTCGTCCGAGTCTATAAGAAATAGCTCCTGCATTTTTTCAAATGTGCTGGACTCTGACCATCCCGACTGCCGGACATAAGCCGTGAGTGTCCCTACGGCGTTGGTGAGAGCCGTCATTTGCTCAGATAAGGCTCTAATGTCCTGTTTTAAGCTCTTCTCCATTTATATTTTTTTTACTAATATGTACATGCATTATTTATATTAAATTCATTTTAAAAACTTACCCTCCATCCACCTACCAGAAAAAATTAGAAAATTTACGACTGTTAGCATTGTCAATGCAAAATCGTTTGGGACCTGGAGCATCCTACTATAATAAATAATTTTAATAGATATTTTATAAAATAAATAAAAAGTAGTGTTTTTTTTTAGGTTTTCGAACCAGCGTAGGTGAATATTCTAAAGATATTTAAAGCGCCGTCGCTTTAAATATGCCTGATTCATTTTTATACCCGTTACTCGTAGAGTATAAGGGTATATTGTATTCGTGCAAAAGTATGTAACAGGTAGAAGGAAGCGTTTCCGACCCCATAAAGTATATATATTCTTGTTCAGGATCACTAGCCGAGTTGATCTAGCCATGTCCGTCTGTCCGTCTGTCGGAAACTATAAAAGCTAGAAGATTGGCAGCGCAAGTTTGTTTCAAAATGGTGCCACGCCCCCTCTGACGCCCACAAGACACAAGCTGTGGCCACAGTTTTGATGCTATTATGAAAATTTTAATTGATAAGTATTTGTTTTGTCAATACCTATCGATTGGCCTAATAAAAGTTTGCCACGCCCACTCTAACGCCCAAAAACCCATTAAACGCTTAAGCCTGGCTAGCGCCTACATTTCCGCCTTTCATGACGCCATCTAACGGATGACTTTGGAACAGCTGGCTAAGGTGCTCAACAGAGTCAACGTTAATTCTCGATAAGGATTTCTATTAAAGGAAATTGCGATGATTATCATTTGTCAATACCGAACTATATCCCAAGAACTATGCAAATCAAATCTAGTTAGCCAAATTGGAGGTCTGAGTCAAACAATGGCGTATGTGTGTATGCTGGTGCAGGACAAAAGCTGCCTGCGCTAAAGCAGAGCTGGTGCTGATGCTCGTGCTGTAAAGCTGCCAGCACTAAGAGATCGCCGAATTCAAATTGATAATTTGAACTTTTTGTCCTTTTTTCCTGTGGTCACTATAATTCACATTATGTTAAAACAAAAAAAAAAAACAAAAAAAAACATAAGAAGGCATTATATTAAGTTGTTTAGCTGAGTAACGGGTATCTAATAGTCGAGGCACTCGACTATAGCGTTCTCTCTTGTTTTAAATGCCTACGGACTAAACACCCCCCATTCTCAAAAAATAAAAAATAAACTATGAAAAATGTAACAAGAAAGGAAAGCTAACTTCGGGCGGAGCCGAAGTTGATATACCCTTGCAGAATACTCTGTAAAATATATTCCCCAAAATTATTCATATGATGCATTCTTAATACTCATAAAAAATCCCAACTTCCTAACTTTAAAAACACCAAAGTTATGGCATTTCCAATCGTTCAGTTATATGGCAGATATAGGATATAGTCGGCCGATCCTTATGAAGTTTGGTAGGTCGGATTGATTGGCCAAAAATAAAACCCATAGAAAATCCCAACTTCCTAACTTTACAAACACCAAAGTTATGGCATTTCCGATTAATCAGTTATATGGCAGCTATAGGATATAGTCGGCCGATCCTTTTAAAATTTGGTACGTCAAATTGATTGGCCAAATGTAAAACCCATAGAAAATCCCAACTTCCTAACTTTACAAACACCAAAGTTGTGGCATTTCCGATCGTTCAGTTATATGGCAGCTATAGGATATAGTCGGCCGATCCTTATAAAATTTGGTACGTCAAATTGATTGGCCAAATGTAAAACCCATAGAAAATCCCAACTTTCTAACTTTAAAAACACCAAAGTTATGGCATTCCCGATCGTTCAGTTATATGGCAGCTATAGGATATAGTCGGCCGATCCCGGCCGTTCCGACTTATATACTGCGTGCAAAGGAAAGAAGGGTGTGTGCAAAGTTTCAATTCGATATCTTTAAAACTGAGAGACTAGTTCGCGTAGAAACAGACAGACGGACAGACAGACGGACAGACAGACGGACAGACAGACGGACAGACGGACAGACGGACATGGCTATATCAACTCAGGAGGTGATCCTGATCAAGAATATATATACTTTATAGGGTCGGAGATGTCTCCTTCACTGCGTTGCACACTTTTGACCAAAATTATAATACCCTCTGCAAGGGTATAAAAACGGTACCAATACAACATTATTATACCCTTGCAGAGGGTATTATAATTTTGGTCAAAAGTGTGCAACGCAGTGAAGGAGACATCTCCGACCCTATAAAGTATATATATTCTTGATCAGGATCACCTCCTGAGTTGATATAGCCATGTCCGTCTGTCCGTCTGTCCGTCTGTCTGTCCGTCTGTCTGTCCGTCTGTCTGTTTCTACGCGAACTAGTCTCTCAGTTTTAAAGATATCGAATTGAAACTTTGCACACACCCTTCTTTCCTTTGCACGCAGTATATAAGTCGGAACGGCCGGGATCGGCCGACTATATCCTATAGCTGCCATATAACTGAACGATCGGAAATGCCATAACTTTGGTGTTTGTTAAGTTAGGAAGTTGGGATTTTCTATGGGTTTTGTATTTGGCTAATCAATCCGACATGCCGAGTTTCATAAGGATCGGCCGACTATATCCTATAGCTTCCATATAACTGATTGATCGGAAATGCCATAACTTTGGTGTTTGTAAAGTTAGAATGTTGGGATTTTCTATGGGTTTTATATTTGGCTAATCAATCCGACATGCCGAGTTTCATAAGGATCGGCCGACTATATCCTATAGCTTCCATATAACTGATTGATCGGAAATGCCATAACTTTGGTGTTTGTAAAGTTAGAATGTTGGGATTTTCTATGGGTTTTATATTTGGCTAATCAATCCGAAATGCCGAATTTCATAAGGATCGGCCGACTATATCCTATAGCTGCCATACAACTGATTGATCGGAAATGCCATAACTTTGGTGTTTGTAAAGTTAGGAAGTTGGCATTTTCTATGGGTGTTATATTTGGCCAGCCAATCCGACCTACTAAATTTCATAAGGATCGGCCGACTATATCCTATAGCTGCCATATAACTGAACGATTGGAAATGTCATAACTTAGGTGTTTTTAAAGTTAGGAAGTTGGGATTTTTTATGAGTATTAAGAATGCATCATATGAATAATTTTGGAGAATATAATTTACAGAGTATTCTGCAAGGGTATATCAACTTCGGCTCCGCCCGAAGTTAGCTTTCCTTTCTTGTTTTTATATGATATTGCTACCGCATTCCTACTAAAAGTTGAAACAGGATACTTTTCTAATATTGTATCCTCTTCAAAAATGCCTTCACAAATTCCCACATCAAATTAACTAATACGCTCATCATAAAAACTAAAAAGTTCTGAAAATCTTCTACCTAATATAAATATTTCTTCCACTGCTGCCAACATTTGCCCAGCAAAAAAAGCTGTTTTTGACGGGAAGAATTCAGAAAAAAGCTAAAAATATTATCCAAAAAATCCAATAAAAAGCTAAAAAAAATGTATAAAAAACACGAAAAAATATAAAATTAATAACAATTTATTAAGGTAATTTTTGCTTAAAATATTTCCATAATTTTATCAATATCTTCTTGGTCGTCCTTATTTGCGTATGACATATTAGTGCCTATCATGCGCAGATATTTTACAGGCACTTCATAGTCGACGCAGCATTTTCCAAACCTTCTGTATAGTAAAATAGAATATGAATACAGTATATCTTTTGTTTGTAAATAAGACTTTACCTTATGCTTAGAATGCTGTTAGTCGTGCTGAGGCCTATCGAATTCCTTAATTTGGATTTAATTAGGTTAACCTGGCTAAAAACCCTTTCTATTTCCGCGTTTGACCAGGGCAAACATAATATTTGGATGGCCGCAGTTGCCAACCCAAAAAATCTTCGGTTTCCACCAGAATCTTTAAATTGGAGCACCTCAAACCAAAATTTGTATGTGTCGCTGATGTTTTCCCACTTGATCGAATTAATGTTATTGTATTGGCGTTCAATTTCTGCAATATTCTTACATTCCAGGAACTCAAAAATTTCTGTGATGCTTTTAATTTCTTAATTTCTAAAAAAGCCAGCATTCCCGCTTTTCACAATTCCCGCAATTCACAAATTTTTCCCGCAGTTAGTCTTCAAAAAAGCCAGTTTTGACGGGAAAAAATCCAAATTGGCAGCACTGATTTCTTCTAACTCTTCAACAAAAGAATCTATTTTTATTGAGACAATTTCCTGCACAAAACAAAAATTATCGTGACTTTTCCCGCTTAATATACAATTATTTAATTTTAAAATATTTCCTACTATTTTAATATTATTTGTATCCCTAACTTTAAATTTGTCTTCTGAAGTTTTCCTATAAATTTGTTGTAGAATTTGAGTGGGTTTTCGGACAAAACGCTTAAGAGTTTGCAAATAATTCTCAAAATCATAAGACGAACCTCTAATCGGATCTCCGACAAGCTTCGCTGTTTCGCCTACATGAAGCAAGCCGTAAACATTGTATGAAACACTGTTATCACCAAAAATATAAGAAAAGTTCTCAACAAATACGTTCAACATTTCTTGACAAATGAGAATATTTGTTGGCCCCTGTTTTTCGGAGCAGAGCAATCTATATGCACAATGATTGGTTGGTATTTTCTATGGGTTTTATTTTTGGCCAATCAATCCGACCTACCAAATTTCATATGGATCGGCCGACTATATCTTACAGCTGTCATATAACTGAACGATCGGAAATGCCATAACTTTGGTGTTTTTAAAGTTAGGAAGTTGGGACTTTTTATGGGTATTAAGAATACATCATATGAATAATTTTGAAGAATATATTTTCCAGAATATTCTGCAAGGGTATATCAACTTCGGCTCCGTCCGAAGTTAGCTTTTCTTTCTTGTTAACTGTATCTTTAAGAGCTACAATTCCAGTATAGAATAGAAACTGTCTAAACTCCGTGGCTTTCC